CAAATGAACATGAAGTTTATGCTTGTCATGTATTACAAAAAATAAGAGATGCAAGATTATATGCAAGATTATATACAAGATTATATTTCTTTGTTGTGTTAATAGTAGGCCTCTACAACATATTAAATTTAGTCAAATTAGTATTCATGATGCTAAATATTATGTACATATACTAGTACATTAAAATATTAAGCATCAATATCAATTGCAAGAATACAATGATAAGCCATCATGACAACATTATCTCATTAATTTTGTCCTAAGCTAGTTTTTTTCTATAATGCAAATGATATTTGCTATATTAGCCTGATGTTTCATTTAAAAAAAAGATTCTTATCATGTTTGATAATTTTGTTTTTCAAAACCATCAATAATTTTGTCATGTGCTTTTACAAACAACAAACTTTGATTGAAAAAATAGGTACAATATGCTTCAAGAGAATGATTTGTGGGCTATCATTAAAAATTTAGTATCAATAGCAACTTAATTGCAATTACAATATGGTTGTGTAATTTGCAACATACATTATAATAGAATAATTTTAGCCAACAAACTGGTAATAGTCAATTGTAGCCAAAATTATTTTTGCAATGATGAATGTTAATCATATCATTAAAAAATTCTAAACCATAGATCTTATCCTATTATAATAGATGATATAGATTAAGTATATTATTATTTTTATTTGTACAAAAAGTAATATTAAGGAATTGACAATTGAATCTAACTTAATTTAAGAGACACATTATTTCAAGTAGCTACTTTATTTCTCACATTAACATTGAGAAGTTTTAATTTGATTGACATACTTTTATTAGGACCACCTTGAGTACTCTAATTAGAGACTAATCTAAGAAAGTCCTCTATGAGATAAGAATTTTTATTATTTATATTATTAATCATCTAATATAAATTACTATTTTTCATAATCTAAACAACCTTTTGTTAAATAAAGAAATTTCTTTGATTCTATTGTAATAGTTGATTAATATACATATATTTATTTTTGCAATACTTACAAATTAATATAATAGCCAAATATAGTATATAGACTTAAACATAGTTAGCCAAATCAAAAAAGACTACTATTACCTAATAACTACTTACAACCATAAGAAGTCCATTTTGAATTTAGGTTTTTTGTTTTAAAGTGAAAAAAAGACAAAAATTAGATAAATTTCATCGTTTTGGTCCTAAAAAGTTGTATGTAGTCAAAATAATTTGATGAAGTGTCTAAACTAGTCTTATATAGAATTAAAATTATAAATATATAATTAATGGATTAAAAATATATTTTTGTTAAAAAATCTAATTATAAATTTTTATTATTTTAGAGCCTTTTAAGGCATGTAACAATTAATTTAAATAAACATTATTATAGCTAATAGAATATACGTCTTGGCAAAGATATTATAAAGTCATATTTACTTCTTATTCCACATTTATCACTTGTAAGACTTAAAAAGTTCTACTTTTAAGGTAAATATAAAAAAAATAGATTTTTTTTAAGAAGTTTTTTTTTAAATAGAAAGAAACTATAATTTATACATTTTTAGACATCAAGACAAAATAATCTTATTATTCATACATATCAATAATTTCTTAATTATAAGCTATTGTGATGAATAAATTATATTATCAAAAATTTGTTTGAAATTAAATTTTAAAATGAATGAACTTGGTGAAAGAGAAATTAAATTATTTCTAAAAGAAAAATACATATAAATCCTAAGAAGAATCTTTTCACTTAAAAAAGTTATATTGCTCAAACTTTAGAAACATTTGACATGACTTCATGTTAACAAATTTCAATTCCAATGATTGTTGGGCTAAAACTCTTCATAGATATAAAAGTTGATTTTATTAATTTTGTTGTTATTTTGTAACATGACTATATGGTAAAAGATGATAATATAGATCTTATTATAAAAGATCCAAGTTAAAAGATAAAGTAAAAAAATATGAATAAAAGATAGGAAGGTAATAAAACTTTTAGTAGTAATACTACCTTTTAAAAAAGTGACTTCTATTTACTTTGTAGGACCATAAATAAGGCAAAAAAATTAGATTGAAAAAATAAATGATATATGCATCTTTAGAAAAAATTTAAGAATAAATTATAGTAAAAAATTACATAGAAAATTAGATATTGATACCCAGAGAAGGTCAATTATGAACCAAGGTCGAAATCAAATCCTGAGGTACAAAACCAAGCCTCAATGATGATTTTGGGGTTCTATGGCAAATCAGAGAGTGGAATTAGAGAGTAGACTTAATAGAATTTCAATAAGCATTGTTTTGAGGCGATTTGGATTTGTATTGACTTTGTAAGAGACTTTACAAAATCAGGGTTTGTTTTAAGTGACTCTACATTTGTGAAATAAAAGGAGAGATTTGTTTTGGAGAATTTCATAAGTTTGGCAATAAATCCATGAGTGAAATTTTAGAAGTTTGTGGATTTATATGTGTTCAATATATACTATGAATTTGAGCTTGATTGAAGGGTTGGATCGAGGATTATTGAGATTTAAGTTGGTCGGGGTCTCGGGAAGTAGAGTTTTAGGTCTTGTGAGAGTTTCTAAGATTTCTTACAATCTATCAATTGGATTGGAGTAAGAATTATATATATGGGTAGTAGACTTATTTTCTTATATATTTGAGAAATTTGAGATCAATTGAATAGTTTAATAAGGAGATATTTGTACTGAAAATTCAACATTTAGATTGAAGAAGGAGCCAGCCAATATCAAAGCAAATATTAAGATTGATCTTCTTTTTGGTGATTTCAATCGTATTCAAAAATTTTGTGCTTATTATTTAGGAATATGTTTAGGGATCAATTAGAGTTTAGTTAGGATTATTTAAGATTTGATTAGGATTGATTAGGATTTGGTTAGGATTGATTAGGATTTGGTTAGGATTTATTTAGGATTTATTTAGGATTTTTTTAGAATTTTATTAGAGTTTGGTTAGGATTTGTTAGGATTTTATTAGGATTTATTTAGGATTTGATTAAGGTTTGTTTAGGATTTGGTTAGGATTTGACTAGAGTTTGGTTAAGATTTATTTAAGATTTGATTATGATTTGGTTAAGATTTGTTTAGCATTTGGTTAAGATTTATTTAGGATTTGATTAGGATTTGGTTAGGATTTGATTAGGATTTGGTTAGGATTTGTTAGAATTTGACTAAGATTTATTTAGGATTTGCTTAGGATTTGATTAAGGTTTGATTAGAATTTGATTAGATTTTTATTTAGAATTTAATTAATATTTCTATTTTAATATTTTATTAAGGTTTTTATTTTAGTATATTTTTGAATTTCTATGTTATTTCTTTATGATTCTTTAAAGGATTTTTAGGAATACTCTATGTTTCTTATATAATTTCTTTGAAATTTTGACTGAATTTGATCAATGTTTGATTATATTTGCTAATCTTTAATTATAATTTGTTTAAGAATCTATTAGAGTTGTTAGAACTTATTGCAATTTTCCTTTTATCTTCCACAACCAAGTGCCTAGTGCATTTTTAAACCAAACACCACGTAATACAACACCACTCTTTATGAATTAATGATTAACAAACTTATTCACCTACTTTATTTAGGGCCAAATATTTCTTATACAGTATGGATCACAAGTTGATTTATAGCAAGTTTGTTATTATATCACTTACATGGCACAAAAAGAATTTTGAAGTATATCTTGGGAAGAAAAAAAATGATATAATTTATTAACAAAACATAAACCTTTAAATTTTTTGATACACAAATATTGATTAGTTGGAAATCTAGAAGATTGGTGCTGAATATAGGACTTTGTGTTTATACTTTAAAATGGTAGTTAAAAAAGAAAAATACAATACTATTATCCTCATGTGAAGCTAAATATATGTACATCTCTACAATAATTTGTAGAGCATCTTGGCTTTAAAAACTCATTTGTAATCTAAGTTTCATGATCTTAAGGCCAATACTAATCATATGTGATAATAAAGCTAGTATATGAGTTGCAACAAATTCAAAATAGATTGCATATACAAAACCACTATAAAGATGAATATTTAACAATTTCGAAACTTTACTAAATATTTGTAATTACAAAGATGTAATTATAAAATTCAAAACCTTTTACTTCCCTCTATTTTAAAAAGTTATTTAATTTTTATTTTTAAAAAAATTTCTTTCTAAGTTTTTTTTCAACTCCTATCTAAATCATAAAGTCAATCATCAAGAAGTCCAATCAGCATGATCATGGTCTCTTTTTAAGCTAATCCTATTATTTCTATTTTCTATTCTACATTCTTAGCTGCTAAAATCTCATTACCATCTTTTTGAAGAAGAAGAAGAAAGAAAATTTTAAACTAAACTAAACTAAAAAATCCCTCAAGTCTAACATTCTTATAAATTATAACATTGCATCTTATTAACAAAAATGAAGTTCAAGAACAAGACTTACAAGTTGTTTATTATTCTTCAGCAAAGCCTTTTTAAACGAACAACATTGAACGTGGGAGTGTGTTAGACAGTTATTGCTCTAGTCAACTGTTCACTATAAACTTATAGAATGTAGTTCGGTTCACTATACAAATTATTCTAACTCCAGAATTTTAAGTCCAAATGACTTGTGTATTTGACACTCTGCGTCCTCGCTTGTTTTGATTAATTTCATTATTCTACTCTGTTGTCATTCACAATCAGTACTTGCTAGTTCTTGTCCAGAGCTGGAACATAATCTGAACGTGCTCCTTGAAATTTAAAACCTATCTAGTACCCACCTCAGATAACACATGCCAACAATCTGATATGATTTAATGCTGGTAGTGTGGTACACTTTGGAAGCTCCTTGAAGGCATACCTGCCACTCTGAGGTCCCTGATAAAGATTCGACGTGTAGATTACATGCAACAGCCATCGACTTAATCATTCTTTTATCAGTGTAATACTGTTGAATTCAATTTTTTTGTAATTGGTTGCTAACTTGACCTAGCCAGTGTTGTCCTCTTCATATGGTGGGGCCCCCAATATTTTGCATTACAGTCACTCTTTAGAAGATTGCAACAAAGTGTTCTACTCACACTAGTGCGATTGTTCGGCTATTTCAATCCTGCTCGTATGTACAGTAAATGTAGCAACTATACATGCTTTTGAGAGTGTACTACAAATGTCTTACTCCTAGTTTTATTATTGAAAGTGTGCTTCTCTGTGGCGTTAAATTGGCAGATTAACTTTACAAATGTACAGTATCTTGGACTGACATCCTTAATTCAGGACAGGATTGGCGACCCTTCTAGTATTACTGATCTCAACCACATTGTTATATGCGTCCCTGCAATTAACATGACAAAATAATGTGGAGATTCAAATCATCTTCTCATAGACACCAGGTTATAGACGTAGAAGACAATTAATTCATAGTAGTTTTTGGTTAAGAGAAGCTGTAGGATCTCCGTGCGCATGTGTCGTTGACAAGGACGCATCCATTTCTTGCATTGGCAAATCTTATTTGTTTCCAATTTCAATCATCTCGATTGGCTCCTTTTGTGTAGAATCAAGCTTGACATCGTCGCCATTTACATTCTGGTACACAGGGATGCAAACGAAATCAATTTTTAGTCAGAAGATCTCAGAAAGAGAGACAAGTTTAGGACTTGTGAGCATGTAAGGCCAACTAAAGTTGTACCAAATCTTAGATAAGCATCGCGAGATGATTAAAAACTGCATGAAGATTTTATTCAAACATGAATACAGATCATTTTAAGTGACGGCCTTCATCACTTGAAGATGTGAGCATATGGTGAATTAAAGGCTAATTACAGCTGTGGAAGAACCGTTGGACAATGCTTCCTCCTCCCTTCGCTTGGTGGCATTCTGTTTTCGGCTCTGCTGGATTGCGTGGCTGTATTGCGCAAAGTTGGGTTGGTTGGTTGACGACATCAGTCGTGCCCACATGCGATCAGCTACGTTTACACGTCGGGACGTTGCCACCACTCTCTGTCACAATGTGCGGGTAATATAAATGACCCTCGTGGTGTATAAGAATGTGTTGATCACAACGTCCACGAAAGCATCTGAATGATTTGCACACAAAAAGTAAGAACACTGCCTCCCCAGAACCATGAAAGCTGATTCGTAATGCTTGGGATTCATCTTACAGCAATAGGAATGTAGCAGTGTCGAACGTTGACTGGTCCGACAGTGAAGCCGCAATACCCTGCCATAGCCCCATGGATGGCGCTATGAGCCAGCAATGTGCAGTAGACATTGTCCGAAGCATTGCTTGGAATTGCTCGAATCATATACGTCGGATCTGCAGAACTATGGCATAATGAGCAGTCTTATCGAATGCAAGATCACCATGGACGTGGCCAGAATGTAAGCAATTCCCCACAGTGTAAAAAATCGACAGATGTAGACCAGGAAGACGGATCACCATCACTCAACAGTTAGAACAGTTGACGGCTACTGTACCTATGTATTTCAAGTTAAGCGGCTCCCTGAATGCCTTGAGGAAATGCTCCTGCAGTGAATTTATAAATTCACAGTCAAGCAATCGGAAATTCTCACAATGGGCAGTTAATGCAAGTCCGAATCAACAACAAGCACATTTGAACTGTAACAGTCAAAGCAATGAATTTAATTTGTTGTCTCTCACCTTCAGATGATTACAGAGCCATAGACCAACGTCGAGGAGCAACTTATTTCCAGAAGCATCATTCATCTTGTCCAAAGATCCCATGGTTTCAGCCATCAACTCTTGTCCAGCACCCTCGGCCACAACGATAACCATGTGCCCATTTTCTCGTAGCCTGTGATGTACAAACTCGATCAGGCCGCCTGGTCCATGCAAGTAGAATGGCACTTCTGGTATCAAGCACAAATCCTGCATTTACACATTAAATTCACAAAGAATTAATCTCCTCAATCAAGCCTATTAATCAGAACCTGATAGGATCACTAATACGTCTATGGAACCATGTAATCTCTTACAACAAAAACGATATTCAGGAACGGATCCAGAGAGTTCATAAAACCGCAATTACCACATCACGACTTGCAAGTGTGGCATGCATCGCAATGTACCCTGCACCAAACGGTGTGAAATTAGTATAAGTGGTAGCAGTTGATCTCAGGGAAACATTGAGAAACATCTAATTAACTCAGCGATGGTTAGAGGATGTGCTGATGTTTCCACAGGATTAAAGGCGTCCCACCGCTATAGCGTCCCATGAGCTTGACCACCCCAATGCCATTGTGAATACTCTCAGCTTCCACATGGGCAGCATTGATTGCGCGCTGTGCTTCTTCAACAGCTGTATCAAACCCAAACGATTTGTCTATAACCTGCCAATTCCAGGTCAAATCAATTCGTCTTTCCTCACAAAGTCTGGTCCCAATTAAGACTTGATCATACAATTCGATTCTTTCGAGAGTTGCACGAATATCAGACTCAAGGATTTGTCAGAAACCTACATCGAGATCATTATCGATGGTTTTTGGAATTCCTGCCACCGCAACCTTCAAACCCCTCCGCTTACACTCCTGCAAAAGATCATTCCCAGCCAAAGTTAGTTGCCGAATCATCGCTAGTTCAACTTGCCTAAGCTGAAAAATGTACCATTTAATACTTTCCTGAGAAATCTCGATCAATGTACCTCGTGGATAGCATTAGCTCCTTTCTGAGTGCCATCTCCTCCAATGATATAGACCTGAAGTCAAATCAATGTCACAGGGTGAGCTGTATTGCAAAAAATACGAGGTTGATGAGGTGACTGAGGCCGGCATCGAAAAGTTTTGAAGCGATCTTCAAATTTGGAAGAAATGACTAAGCTCTCTAATGGGTATACATGAGTACCAAAAGCGATGCATTAAACAACACAAAATTATACATGCAGTGCTCAGTCAGACAATGCTCAAGTTGAACAAGAAAAGCACAATGATCTCCATGTATCCACTGAAACCAATTCGAACCGTGCAACATCTGCCATACCTGATCGAATCCACGGTCTTGAATAGAATCAACAATTTTGTGAGTGTCGTGCCCACCACGCGAGGACTTCAAATAGGTGCCTCCCCGTTTGTGAATGTCGCTGACAACTTTAGGGTTGAGAGAGATAGTATTCCGGGAGTAGAACCCCCTGTAGCCTCCCTGCAAGCGTGGCAAAGTAGTTGCAAATTAGCCGCAAGTGATTCGTGAGTTCCTTCTAATCAACTCTAAAGCATAGAATCAACCAGGGATACAATCTTTCATGTTCAGAATGGCTGAGGGACCATTTTCAAGTCGTTAGTCCATCTCTGAACAGACGAAGGGAAATATATAAATATAAAATAAACAAAATAAAAAATGAACAATCCAAAGATTGCCTCGTACTCACTTCAATCCCGCTGATATCGCGCACCCCATATTGTGTCCACAGACCGCACACAATCTCACGAATTACAGTGTTTATGCCCGGGCATAATCCTCCACAAGTCACAATACATGCCCTCACATCTTCCGATTTGAAATATATCTGCAGACAAGCAAACTGTGCATGTACTATTGAAAAAGGTTCAAAATATTTACAGAAATGAGATAAACATATATCTTACCCAGAATGTGTTGTGAGGACCCACATGTAGTCGCATTAGTGTGAGAAAGAAAATATGTGCTTCTTCACCTCATTACCACTTATTCAGGTTGACAAAGGCTGAATATTGTGAGACTTGGAAAGATCTATAAAACAGACGACGAGTCAAGAAAGATATGGAACCTTATCTCGAAGCCCTGCACGTCTGAAATGAATCCCTTCACCGGTTGTATTAACATTTACAACGACCTGACAAAGATAATATGGGTGAGTTTCATTCTCGAGACAGCTGCCTCCACTCGGTTGGACATCGAGGTGACTGTAAGTGCGACCCAAATCACGAGACAAAAAATTTAAAAACAAAATGTGGAAAATTGTTTCGTATCAGTCGAGCTTACGTCTCTCGCTACAACATCTGTGTCCTCCACAAAATACTGCCTGCAACCATGACGAGGGGACTTTCTCCAGTTAGCAAGTTTGGCGACAAATTATCATTTCTCGGTGGAAAAATAGTAGCCTAGGGGATTTTAGACAAGCCCTCAATATTGCCAATAATAGAAATTACTTGAAATTGACGCATGAAGCTAACCTCACAGCTGAGTAAGCGGGGTTATGTTTCAATGGATTTTCATATGTCTGTCCGCAAAAGAAACAAACATGTCTGTCAACCCACAAAAGTTGAAACATTGACATCGAAATTGATCTCCAGAGAGCCGCTACGGTCGATATTTCGTACTAAATGTAACATTGAATGTCGTCGTCTCTAGGGACACTTCTCATAGCAAAACCTTTTCTTCATCTACGAAACTGCTAAATTAGATAAACATAGCCATGAAGGTTTCGAACTGTTGCTGGTGGTCACATAAATTACATTCGACGTGCAGAAATTGATAAGTTAGCTGTAACCATAGTGCATTGACAATACATCAACTCAAAAGCCTTCATCGAAAAGGGGAAACATTCGGTAACCGTAGAACAAAATATTTCAAGTGTAAATCACATCAATCAAGGTACACACAATCAGGTTTCGTTGTGTACCGGCTCATTCTGCGATCCAGGTTGCTTACCGGCAAACCGGGGAGCCATTTAGTAAGGTGAGGAACATCTTCAAGTACAGCACCCCCGTTCCCCACCGAAACTTTCATCGCGGAAGCCATCCTCTAAAGCAATCAGCTTGTACCCAAGATTTAAAACGCGCGACCAAAGAACAGTCAAAATTACCAACAATTCGCCAAAGCCGTCTTAGATTTACAACCGAAATGGAACATTCAGCACTCACTACTAGTCCTTACTAGCACTCACTACTAGTACTTGATACATCAAAATTTTCGCAACGGCAAGGTTACTTAATTGTGGATAGTGATTTAATTTTCAGCTGGATACCTCCAAATAAGAGTTTATACAAACTCTGTACCACAAAAGAACAGACGAATGGCCTCACAGAAGCTAACTGATGTGTAGAAAAGAGCGGGATCCTGTCCTTAATCTTTCGATCCAGAATAGAACGATTATCACAAAGCAAATTCGAAAAATGACTCGGGTATGGTCTGTCCTTCACGCGTACCTCGAAGCCGCAACTTTGCACGCATGCAAGTGCTATTTCGCATTTTCAAAAGCCATTTGGGTGAAAAAGGGGACACGGCGAGTGGCGGCTTCACATAGAACCGCATCACTCTGGGCGTACAGTGGCGGCAGAACTTGGTGGGAGCTGTTGGTGCCATCGAACAGTACCCTGTCACCTGCAAGTCTCCTCTTTCCGATGTACTTTTCCAGCTTCTGGCCAACAGTTCTCGGATATTGAATTCAACACTAATCAACTAAGACGTCCAACTCACGTAAAAGGAATTTTTAACAGCACGTTTGGTATCCAACAAGGGGACGAAACTTCAGCTAAAATTACCTTAGATCGGACACTGAAATAGCAAAACTCACAGCCCACAGATTCAGGTAACTTTGCAAGAGCATGGGTCATGGTGGGCCTACGACCTCTGACAACCCCAACAAAAAACTAAAAACAATTCCACGTCCCCAAAAGCTTGGAATACTCACTCCTCAAAACTGACGATGATTCGTGCAGGTCAAAATCGCACGAACGAATCGTGATTCAAAAGACATTAACCAATCTAGGAGACGCCGCGAACATGGTAGACGCAACCAAGATCTCAAGAGATAGACGATGGGTCACGGGGTCTGGGCCCAAGAGGACGAGGGGAACTGTCTGAACCCACCAGAACTCGACACGGTGAGGAAGTTTTCCAGGTCGGGGAGCTGCAGTAAAACCCCCGGCTCAGCGATCCCACCAGTCTCTATTTCCTCACATTTTTCAGCTCCACCGCGTCTAGACGCACCCATGGAACATTCAGAGGGCTAGTTTGTGCGACTGCAACCACACGAGCAGCTGAAGCCCAGACCATGGACCTTGGGCACCAGTCCTCGGACCTGCACAGAATGGCGCCGTCGGGCTGCACCAGCATGGCCTGGTCCACAGCGACATTGTAGCAGTCGATCTTTCGATCGGTCCATCCATCCATGTGTCGATTGGACCCAGTTGTGGTGCGATTAGCATGTGGTGGGTCCACCAGTCAATCGTGTTGTTGATGCCATCGCTGCTTCTAGAAATGGTGTCGATATGACTGGGCTTGACCTGTCAACGAAGTTTGATCAAGCCTGAAGCTTCAGTTCACGGCGTTCTTCTGACTTGTTTTTGTGATCGTTTGTTTGCTGATGTTGTGCACAAATGTTGTGATCTTGTCCTGATGTCACCATAACCAGCGGCCACGTCAACCTCAGGGTGGGATCCGTCACAAGTCGATGACAACCATGAAGAATGATGGGTTTCTGTAAGTTTGGAGTTTGAAAAGAATATGTTGTTTTTTGAGGTGCTGGTGAAAAGTTGCGGGTTGTGAGAGGTGGTGAAGGTTACTAATATGGTGGTGAAAGATTTGTTTTTTGAGGTGTTAGGTTTTCGAAGGGACGTGATTTCGCTGTCACATATTGAAGGGATGTAAATAGTGTATTTGCATGTGGGTGATGATGGTGAGAATATTGTAACCTGTATCACTTCAAAGCTTTATCAAGTGTGAAAAAGCTTAAGAAAAATTGTTGAATAATCTAAACTCACAATAGGGGAGTATAAGATTAGAAAAGAGAAGATAGGAAACAATAAAAAGAACAAAAGAAACTTATAACTACATATTTTTATTTGACATTTAAAAGTTACTTAAAAATATTCTCAAAGTTAGAAAGTAATATGAAAATATTATGTATCCCTTTCTTTAAATTTTTACATGCTAGCAAGCTAAAAGAAATACTTTTACAAATTAGTTAATTAATTAATTAGAAATTATAATAGTTTATGCACCTTGTAATAAAAAGACCAAAAGCAACTATAAGACGATTACAATAAATCATCAAACCATAGTAGATGGAAATGGTAGCATGGTGGAATTAATGATATTAAGTCAGAAGATAAAATATTATCATTTCTGAACTTTAGGCCTTCCAAGAATTCTATGCTTGGTCTAAAATAAATTAAATAATAATCTTCAATAATTATACATATATCAATAAATTATACATATATCAATAATATTAATATCAATAGAATTTAATTTATATTTATAATAATTTTATAATATAAACATAGAATATAAAAATCATATTATAAAAACCAAGTATTTGTGTAAGATTCTCTATGAATTTGTAGATATAAGAAATTATGAAAAAGATTAAAATATTGAAGATTTTGTAAGAATATTTATGAACAAGTAGATTAAAAAAAATATATGTACTTATGTATGTTTATTGTACAAGACTTAAATTCTTTATTTGGATTTTTATTTTAATAATAAAGAATTATTACTATTATAGCTTTGGCTCTTTATATATGAACATTTATTCTTATTTCACATTACAAAAGCTTATAATAAATTTATTTATTTACTAAAATAAAGATAAAAATTCAAAAAAAATTAGTATTCTAAGCTTTTATTAATAAAATTTTACATATATATATATATATATATATATATATGTAGTTATTTATTAATTAAAGAGTATCAAAAGACATTAACATCACTTAAAGAATGTATTTATTTTTATATTAATGTAAGCACTATTATTAAGGACATGAACTTCAAACAATTCAAAGATCAATAAATTCTTACATCACTTAAATAAACTAAAAAAATCATCCAAAAATGATATAATATTTAATTAGAATGGCTATTGCCAAAGAGAAGAAGACTAGAAAGTCTTGAAACAAGACTAAGGACTAGAAAGGCATTGACAAGAGTAAAGAAGACTTCACACTTTCTTCTATACATACTATTTAACTAGAAGCTATGTGGTGACATTCTATAGGACCTCCAACACGTGTCCAATTTACAAGATACATGTCTTAACTTTCAAGGTAAGTTTTTTATATGTACGCCACATTGTTAACTTGTACCATAAGCTATCCATATGTATGACGCATGGCTAATTTGTTAGCCATGTTTCTAATTTTCATAAACATATATATTTACTCTAACATTTATCTATATGATTAAATAGAAGTAGGTAAAAGTTCATTTATTTTATAATATCTTTTAGAAAACTTCTTAAAAACTCCATAGATGCTGCTTTGACTTTACATGTATTTGTAGTTGATTGATAGGTTAGAAACTTAGTCAATAAGTTAACCACGTATTGATAGCTTGTGAAAAAAGCTAAATATGTGGTGCACATATAGAAAACTTTCCTTACAAGTTAAGATACATCTCTTGCAAAGTCAACACATTTTGGAGGTTTTATAGGATACCACCATGTAGCTCCTAATTAAGAATATATATGGAGGCAAGAGTGAAGCCTTCTTTACTCTTATCAATGCCTTTCTAGTCCTTAGTCTTGTTTCAAGACTTTTTAGTCTTCTTATCTTTCACAATAGCTATTTTAGTTTAATACTATATCATCTTTGAGTGATTTTTTGGTCTTTTTGAGTGACACAAGAGTATATTAAGATTTTCTTTTTTCAAGATTCATGTCCTGGATAGTTTGACAAGAGTGCTAATTCATTGTTCTTATTTTATTTTAGAAGTGAGTGGATTATCTGACTTTTATTATTGTATTTTGAAGGTTGCAAATTATCCACCTTTAAACAAACTACTTAATTGACTAAGTTTCTAACATTGATTTTTTCTTAAAATTTTCCAATTATCCTCTCTTTGTAGAAATTTTTATTTAATTTTAGAGCTTATAGATTATCCTCGTTTAATTTGATTTATAGATACTATATTTGGTGGAAGTGAGAATAGATTTACAACTATTGTTAATCTTAAAAAACTTGTCAATACTCTTAGGATAGAATTTTTATATATCACGGGTGCCAACCATGGAAATATTAATCCTACACCTATAGAAGAAATTCAAAGTCTACATCAAGAAATTATATAATTGAAAGAAGAAACTAAATCAATCTCACAACTAAATCCAAAGGGTTTGCTTCTATAAATATGACAAGGACAAAGATTAGTATGTCCAAGAATTTTGATGGAATAAGATTAAAATTTTGAAGATATTTGTAATAAGTCAAGTTCTATCTAAGATTGCATCATTTCCAATATCCTAATAGATTTACTCAAGTTGGGTTCATAGATGCACTTCTATGTAGAAGTGCTCTTTCTTTGATTGTATTTTTGATGGAAAAGGATTCATGACTCTTTTATGATTTGCATTCATTCTTAAAAGTGTTCACGGCCACATTCAGAGAAAGTGATCAAAAAAGAGTAGCAGAGACTAAGCTCTTATTTTTACGACAAGAATAACAATCAACCATCATATATACTATTAAATTCTGAAAACCTCACTTGTGATATGGATTTGAATGACAAAGCTCTTATCAATCAATTTCAATATAGGTTGAAGGATAATGTCAATGATTTATTATTGACAGTGTCAAAAGCAAAATCTGTAAAATAATTTATTATTCAAGCTATTGCATGCAACAATAAATTATTTGAAAGACATCAAAAAAAAAGATTTGGTTGGAGAGGGAAAAGCCAAGTAATGATGGCAACTCTTAAATTTTTAGAAACTTATTTATCAAGGCTAGAACCAATGCAAATTGATATAGTATGTTTTAAACTCCTCACTCAACAAAAAAAGACTTGATGTCATCAAGAGGATTTATCCTTATATTGTGGAGAAGCTAAGTATACTAGTCTATATTGTCTAAAGAAGCAACATAATCATAAAATAAAAAGCATGATTACTAAAAAAGATAATGTATTGAAAAACAAGTTTTTCTAACTACAATAGGAACTGTGCGACTTGAATCATATGTAATTTCTAGTAAAGGTCATATTCTCTCTTTAGATCCCTCATCTTATTTTATAATAGATATGTATTTAGGATCTAAAAATCAAAAAGTCTTTGTATTATTAGATTCAAGAGCCTCAGCATGTCTAATAGACAAAGACTTTGTTAAGAAACAAAAAATATCTTTATTCAAGAAAACTAAACTTGTACATATAGAAGTTATAGATGATTGTTTTTTATCTTTTGGAGACATTATCCATAAGATTATTCTTTTAGATGTAGCAATTAAAGATCATAATAATATAATAGTATTTAATTTTATAAGATTTTGTTGCAATCTAATTATTTTAAGAATGTTGTGGTTAAAAAAAATATAATCCTCAGATAAATTAAATTTATTGTAACCTTAATTTTTCTTGTAGTTTAATTCAAAATTTTGTTAGTGAAGTAGAAATAGATAAGTCTAGTAAATCCAAACCCTTATTGATAGGTACAAGAACTTTCATATATGCAACAAAAGAAGGGCCATCTTTTGCTATATATGCTACATCTATTTTTAATGATAAAAAGATGTCAAGTGGTATTTCTAGCTAGTATTAAGATTTCTAAGATATTTTTGAAAAAAAAAATGCAAATACTCTTCCAAAGCATTGATCCTATGATTATAAAATTGATCTATAAAAATGAACTCAACTACCATTTGGACCAATCTATAGCTTATTGCAAAATAAATTGGCTGCACTAAAAAAATATATTAACAAAATCTAGCTAAAAACTTCATATGTTACTTGAAATCTTAATGAAGAGCCCTTATCTTATTTGTGAAGAAAAAAATGGATCTCTATGGATGTGCATAGACTATTGAAGACTTAGTAAGATAAAAATCAAGAATAGATATTTTCTACTTTTGATTTTAGTACTTTTTGATGAACTCAATCAAGCAAATATCTATGAAAAGCATACAATCTAGTCTGCATTAAAAAAAGAAATGAGTAGAAGACTATTTTTTGAACTAAGTATGAAGAAGTTGAATATAATGTCATTACTTTTGGACTCACAAATGTACCAACTACCTTTTAACATCTCATGAATATTTTCTTTTGTGAGTTTTTTAT